TCATTTTCAATGGAAGCTGGCTTTTCTCAGCTGCAAGGCGCATCAAATCCATCGGCGTCGCGTTTTGGGCGTTTTGAGCGTCAATCAGAAAGTTGAAAGAAGCTCAACTATGTGGTAATGAGCTGTGACGCGGTTCAGCGGCAAGCAGCGGCAAAAACGCCAGCAACCAATTGGAATATAGACGTCCTTTACACTGGCTGATTCCGGAGAAACATGAATGTAAACTTTCGTTCCTACAAAAACATTAGCTCCGAGAAAATGGAAGAGCTATTCATCGCCGTTGCTGGGTTTCTTACAGGTTTCGTATCATTTAAGACATGACGTTGTTTGCTTATAGGGACCGCATGAGTGCAAGTTTTATTTGAAATATTTACGCTCGTTTTATAGCGGGAATGCAGTTCATTTTTTTACGGTGGCACCGATTTGTTCGCAATAATAATAATAATTATAGCTAACAATTTTTTTCCCCGACCAAATGTGACCAAAACGGTTATAAAAATGCTGTCATTAAAAAAAGGTTTCTTAAATGTATTGCTTGTTTTTTTCTGTTTATTACATTTCATGTTGTGACACTTCTATTCTCCCTGCAACGTCAAAGCGTTCAAAGCGTCAACGAGCTTCCCCACACTTTTTTTACAAGCGTCCTTGACACGGCGGCCAGAGCTTCTTTGACGCTCAAGTCGGCGGCGGTGTGAACGTACAGTAAGACAGTTCTGGGAGGATTTTACTAAGCCACTTTGATGACAGACTTTGGCATTGTCATTTTAGAATTACCAAAATAGCATATTCTGCATATCCATATTCTGTAAATCTGTTTCCATGGTAGTTTATGCTCATAATTTCGTATTGGATAAAAAATGTATCTGCCTCAAAATCACATAATCTGACTATAGTAACAGACATAAATATTGTGTCTGAACCCAAGTAGTCTGGCTTAATCTTTTATTATTTAAAAAAACAGTGAAGCTTTGAAGATATACCTATTTTTAAAAACTTCAGCACAAACATGCAGTTTAAGAATTTTTTTTTTTTTTTTAAAAATCAGGAAAAGATGTCTTATGGCGCTTTTCCATTACCAGTACCAGCTCGACTCGACTCGGCTCGCTTTTTGCTCCATTTTCCACTGCAGACAGTATCGCCACAAATAGTACCCGGTCATCATAGCGACGCCTTTCGTTCCTCGTTGCCCCATCAAGCTCTCGCTGGATCCTCTCTTCAGCCACCAAACAAAGCAAAGTCTGCACCTCCTCGTTTGACCACGGCATATTCTTCCGAGTTGCCATAATAATAGTACTACGTTTATTAACTATCTCTGGCCAAACTATTTAAAAATGGCGGGTTATTCTGGATACTCCATCTGCCGCGTGCAATGATGACGCAGTGAATGGTGACGATTCTCTCTGACCAATCAGCAGTCGGCATTGTTTTCACGTCACATTTTAGTACTGGCTCAGCTCGCCTTAGCTCGCTACTAAAAAAAATACCCGAAAACAGGTACAGGTACAACTTTTACACAGTGGAAAACCAAACAAAGCCGAGCCGAGCCGAGCCGAGTAGAGCTGGTACTGTGTAGTGGAAAAGCGCCAATAGAGAGAACCCTCACAGACCCTCATGATGACTGTGTGTGATGGACAATAGGACAATGCTGGTAAACTTTTGTTGAAAATAGTGTAAAGCATATAAAAACATGAATGAAAAGAGTCAAATTCAAGATTTTTAAAGAGTTCTTTTCCCCTTTCTTTACCTTGGATGCTCTTATGTTGTCCAGATACTAGAAAGTTTTCAGTAGTCTCTCTAAAACAATGAAGAACTTTGAGGAGATGTGGTCTGTTTCAAGTCTATATAGTTGATGTCAAACAGCATTTGCTGGCCTGTCATGAATTGTGGCATGGGAAAAATATGCACTGAAATATGGATTTCAGACCTGTGTTTAACATACATTGCTTATTGGATAATTTATCAGATTGGAAAGGAGAAGAACAGCTAGGAAGAGAAAGACAACAAAGGTGGAGAACCTGAATAAATGCCAAACAAAAAACACAGCAGGAGAGGTCTTTCCCATCCTTTCCCACTGATTCACAAGCTCAGAGGCCCACATATCTCAGCAACGAAGTACAGCCAAAAACACAAACACATACATGCACACGAACTTATAGATCCAGACATTCCTATGAACCCTAATTCTTGGATATCTGGTCCAGAGCCCAGAACTGAGCCCCCTGCTGTGCAAACGAAACAAACACTGGGATATTTGGCGAAGATGCATGTCATGACGGAATGACTCAGTTATGAAGCGGCCCTGCATTACCAAAACTTGTTTTTGCTTGATGCCTGAACCACAGCAGAAAAAAACTTGACATTACCTATCCAGATGAAGTTGGTCATGTACATGAGGTGGCCAAAACAACACATCTTACACTATCTTTGGCACTAAACTGCCCTAAACCTCAAGTAGTGGTTGAATACTTACATACTGTAGGCCTACTTGGATAAATGTTCTATATGAAGAATCTCCACCTAAGGCCTGTTCACACCAATGATGTTAACTATAGCAAGAAAGTTTGAATAATAGTTATACAGTAATTCGATAGTCCACATCACAACTGGAATATTATCGTTGGAATCACTTTCATAGAATTTTTGATTTTTTTCCAGCTGATGAGCAATAAAATAATTGACAGCCAATCAGAATCCACCGACTTTAAGGAGCTCTGGCATTTCATTGTTTAGTTTAGTTTATTCACAATACCTCTTCAAGCTTTACAATAATACAGTTTTAAGGAACAGACTAGATTGGGTACAGTTTAAAGTGACAGACGACATTTAAAGTGACAGACGACAAAACTAGGGCACACACTTAAAATAAAACAGAAAGTTATGGTGTGGATGCTAACATATTATTATAATTATCTTTATAGTTATTGTTCTTGGTGTGAACAGGCCTTTGATGTCGGTGAGACTTTGATTAAATCCACTCTTTTTTAAGCATAAGAATAAGCTGATTTGAAAATGAATAATGACTCACAGCGACAGCCATAAAATAAACCAGGCTTTTGTCACCTCTCAGTTATTTCACCATTTTAATGGTCTGAAATAAAACAATTCTGTCATCAGCTGTTTGGTTACCATATTCTTCAAAATAACTTATTTTATGTTCAACAAAGAAATACAATTGATGACAGGATTTTCATTTCTGGGTGTCCCTTTAACTTTCAGTTCCAAAAACAGTGGTAACTTTTAGGCTAAGTAGCCATTGGTACCAATGGTTATACAATCTACTTACAACGTTTTTGGGAAATGCAGCCAACTTTTCAAACAGTATACTTTATACATACATTATATATAAATAAAAAAATCATATCTTATGAGTGGTCAACAAATAATCTTATGACCCTTACAGAAAAAAATCCCTGAATCAAGTCAAAGTCATTAAAAAGGCCACCAAAAGAAGGCCCTCTCATAAGCCGTCAAAATGTGTGCCAACACAAATCCCTCACGCTGACAAAGGCCAGTACATTTTGAACGACGAACGTTTGACGGAAGAGTGTGACGGTACTTACCGTCATGAATTGAGATCACAGAGACACATGATAGCCAGGAATTCCCAGAACACGGTGCTCTCAGAAAGACAAGTACGTTCAGGAACTTAGTAGCTTACAGCAGGAAATTTAATCATCTTTGCAATAAATCGTGAGGTGTGAACACAACAGCTAGGCCCCCAAAAAAGTGTTCTCAGCTGTTTTCTTAAACCCTATGGTCATTACGTACCCAACAGTGGTAAAAACCAGCGGACCAGAACCTGGTGCTTTGTACTCTACTATCCAGAGCACTTTCTAATGGTAACACAACTAGTTCGCACAATTGGAGATTTTTTGCCAGTTGGCTCTTCAAAATCAATCCTGAAAACTACAGGATTCAAATCTAGAGAGGCAGAAAACACTTGATTTTTATTCAAGATGCAAGGCCTGTTATTTATAGATGCAATTTAATCATGTTTGACAACAGCACATGGGTGACAAACGTGTGTATGAAGTTCATTGAAATTAATATTTCTTTAGATGTTGACTGGAGTAGAATATGTGCACTCTCTTGCGGCAGACGAAGGGATTTACTTGTTTGAGAGAAACATTTTGACCAAGGGTCAATTTACCATTCGTATTTTAGCATTTACACACATGGCTGAACAGGTCAGAACCGCTCTGACGACGGCCATGAGGTCATCGTCTACAAAGGAAGAGAAAACGCTTTCGTCTGTGTGGACTACCAACTATAAATAGTGAATTATGAGTTATACAGAAGAGTTTTATTTAAATGCCAAACTTCAGGACGACAGAGTAATATTCGCCTTTACTGTGAGGATAAGAAAATAACAAAAATTAACCAGAGCGGTCTGGCACTTGCTCCAAAACCTCGGCACTTGCTAATACCAAGAACTATGAATAACCTCACCATGTTTTTTTTTTTTCCCCCTAACATAGAAGATCAAAATTTCTCCCTCTCTCTGTGTGCATGTCTAGACAACCACTTCACATAATCAGTTATATATATATATATATATATATATTGTATATCCATATAAAAAATGCCATTCAAAAGGTTAAAGATGTTTTTTTTTTTTTCAAATGAGTTGCATGACAGCAACTTCCCATATGTTTAGCTTGTCTTGGTTCAATGCAAAGTTGATTGCCATCAGATGAAAGATTTGAATGAAAGAGGAACAAAAAATCAATAGCCACTGTATGTGCGTAAACAATGCAAACTAGGATCAACCACAGTTTATCTTCTATGGATCACAAAAGTATATTATTGTAAATGTCGCCCCCTGGTGGAAACGCTCTCCTGACTTTGCTTTAGGGGTCTGGGGCCATATTACAGAAACTTCCTAACCGTTCGATGCTAATATGATCTCAGCTAAAATTGCTATGGTTATTAGAGTAAAGAAATTCCTAAACTCATACATTAAGATCGTGAAAACATGAATTCAGACCCAACAGTCTATGTGTCATTTCATCAATGTTTAATATCTGTCAACAGTGATTAGTAAAAAAGAAGCAATGAGCCAAACTTGGTGTGAAGATTCGTGTGTTTACAGTACATTTATATTATTTTACATTAGAGCACATAAACATACACATTAAATTCAGAAAAATGTGTGTATACACACACACAAATACACACAAAATTTACACATAAACATAAAATTGCCAGTACGAACACCAAGACAAAATATCTGACTTAAGCTGATATTCCTCCTTGTCATCATTCATTGAAGTTAATTAAAGGAAGTCTTAAAATAATCATCTTTTGGTTATTACCTTTGATTGCCCATCAGGCCGATTCAGATTCAGTGGATTTGTAGCTTTCGTTGCTTTCTGGTATCGTATTTTTCCATAAAGAGAAAGTCTTCCTGTGAAAGCCTATGTTTGACACACAGAGACTGTCCAGAAATCCTGGGTTTGAGTTTAAAAATGGCCTCAGAGTGAATAAAATTAATATTTGAACACCCTTTGGAAATGGAAAGAAAAACAGAAGCATTGCTGATTTCATTTATAATCCATCATTAGATTTTGTGCATTTTTGTGCAATGTGCATTAACACACCTGTGTTGTGTTTAAGAGACAGAAAACCACACTCAGAATAAGTTGGAGATTTGTTTCACGGGTGATGATCAAAATGTAGCCGGTGACCCAGGACAGTCCGAGCATCACTGCCAGAGAGAAACTACTCAAAATCTTCTTCTTTAGAGGAGTTTTCCGTGAACTAAACAGCAACAGTGTTATTGGTTAAATATATTCTCATAAATGCCTTTTGGTTGATAACTGCTCTTCTGGTCCCAAAGTAAACATACCTGTTTAAGTTAGGGTTGGTCCTGCATATGTTGCGAGAGAAATACAGCAGTATTGCCATGTTTGAGAGCAGCATGAGCATTAACGGGAGCAAGAATCCCCAAAACATGGGTTTTCCCATATTGAACTTCTGTTTGTCGTCTAGTGAAGCCAGCCAGCAACTGCATCAAAGAAGAGTGACAACTGAACTATAGCAATCCAGAGAGAACAATGAAAAAACACACAAATAAAGTAAAAATAAAAAGACATTTAAAGGGTTAGTTCCCCCATAACTGAAAATTACTCAACCTCATATCGTTCCAAACCCATAACCCCTTAGTTACACGGCATGCGTCTGTGGCACGTTACGGCTCCGAGGTTTTGTTCAGTTGTCCACGCGGTGCCAACTCACTCCAGGAGCATTTCAGAAGCGAAGCGACTGGATACGCGAGACCACCTGATTTGCCTGTCCAACGTAGTTTTTCTTGATATATTGGTGTGCAATACAATGGAGACTGAACAGGGTGTTTATTTTGAAATTGACAGTGTTTTTTGACTTTTATTTTGTATTTACGGTGCGCCTTGGACACAGTGTCCATCAAAAATAGACTCTTACTTGAGCCTGATGCTCTCAGTGACGCAAGCAAGGGTGCTTGAGCTTCTGTTTATGTTCGCTAAACAATGTTCATATGTGAATAGCCTAAGCAGCCTAAATTCAATCGGTTCATCGGCTTAAATTATCTTTATTTGTGTTTTGAAGATGAACGAAAGTCTTACAGGTTTGGTACGATGTGAGGGTGAGTAAATGATGACAGAATTTTCCTTTTTGGGTACTATCCTGCGGGCTTGTTTCACAGGCAGGGCTTAGATTAAGCAAATGTTAGATCTAAGTGGTAAAGGTACCTTGAAAAAGATATTAGTGTGCATCTTTAGATAAAACAGTGGCACAAACATAAAACAGCTCAAACATGCATTTTAGTCTGGGGCTTAAGTCTGTGAGTCTGCGTGTAAAAGTAGTAAAGTTGGAAATATTTGATACTTACAACTCTTCCTGTCGATAACCTAAAGGCTCTTTCACTCTGTAGGTGGAACCCAATGAGATACCAACAATAACAGCGGGTAGAACTAAACAGAAAAAGATTTATTGACATTTAATGACATATATTGGATATATCATTTCATATTTAGGATTTAGTCTTTTGTTTGATTTTGCTGTTAATACCCAGGATGCAGGGGTGGGTGAAAAAAGAAAATACCATTTACCAATATTCTTAAAAATGTTGGTTGATAACATACACAAGTATACACCTTTCTTTTTTTGGAAAAGTGATTAAAAATACTCTTTTTTTTAAAAAAACAGTCAAAACAATTATTTAAAATACAGTTTTATGATATCTTCTCGCCAAGTCATTGGTGTTTTTTTTCCATGGTTACTCTAGATAATGCTTAAAGGAGTAGTTCACTTCAAATTACCCCATGATTTACTTAACCTCAAGCCATCTTAGGTGTATATCTTTCAATCGAGTGCAATCGGAGTTAATAAACACCCTGATGCCTCCGAGCTTTATAATAGCCGTGGATTGCAACCATAAGTTTGAAGCTCAAAACAGTGCATCCCTCCATCATAAAAGTGCCGTTATATCTTTACAATACATTAGTGTTTTGTTCAAGTCCCCTACCCCATCCAATAGCCAGGGAGACCTTTGGAAACCATGGAGGTGTTCCAGACACTCCGCTTTTGAAGAGGAGGAACACATTAACCCCGTACAGAGTGTTCCAGGTGAACGTGGCCAACAGGAAGTACTGAAGCAGAGCTGTAAATGCTGTACAGGGACCCTCGTCTGGGTACTTGTGATGGTCTGTGTCGGGAACTTTGTTCTGACCAGACAACTTAGCCACACTCAGATGTTGGACAGGGTTGTTTATGCCGAAGATGAAGAGAAGGTAGAAAACCGTCATGCTCATGCAGATGTTCACAACTAGTAGAGTAGGACTGCCTCCTCTTGACTTTCTGCGGCAAAAGTGTATGAATACAAGCTATAAAAAGTTGCACCACTCAAATAGCTGTGACAATGCTTAACAGTGTAAACTATAAGCCTTTACCTGGTTACGATTTGGTACACAGCTGTGACAAACAGACCCAGTACAGACAGAGCGCAGCCGGTGATGCTTATCCAATGCAAGGCTTCAGAATACTGATAGTTGGTATCAAATGTCTGCAGAAAATGACACTAAAATTCTAGTAGCAGTGGACTTTAATTCACAGCATCATAGACATCACACTCTTAAAAATAAAGGTTATTGATTGGCATCTTTGGATCATTGGCATTCCATGGAACATTTCCATTGTTCATATAGCGGAGATGGTTCTTCTGATTATTGAAAAAATGGTTCTTTTAAGAATTGTTCAGTTAAAGGTTATAATGATAACCTTAAGGTTGTTCAATGATATTTACATCCTTCTACAAGCATATCTTACCATCAGAATGGCAAAGTTGGCATTTTCAAATTTTTTCGGTTTACAGCTGCATACTACATGACCTGAGGGGTTCGATGTTTTGGAACAGCCTTCTGGGCTCCAGTCATTTTTAGTGTAACTCCAAAACACACATGCAAAGTCGTTGAGGGATAGTGTCGAATCGACCTGAAACAATTCATAAATATCATGCCTGTGCCGACCTCTGTCAATGTGTTTGATAGCGAGGAACATCACTGTATAGTTCTTTAGAAAAAAAGCTTACTTCCAGTGGTACACTCTTAAAAATAAGGTTCTTTATTGGCATCAAAGGATCCATGGAATCTTTACATTGCACAGAAGGTTCTTTATAGTAAAAAAAGGGATTCTATAGAATATTGAAATGTTCTTCACACTAAGAAAAAAAATGGTTAAGAACTATAATGAAAGGTTCTTTAAGGGGACCTTTATTTTTAAGAGTGTAAGGCCTGAGTATTTCTAATTTCATTATTTATAAGCGACAGAAAGGCGCAAACCACAAAAGTGTGCCCAGAGGGAAGTATGTTGTTGGACTAGCTGCTCACCGATGGTGTGACTGCAAACTCAATTTGGTCAAATCCAAGACTTTCTTGAAGGTTAGCAGATATTACTCTTCTCTTGGTATCCAGAGAAGGTTGAAAGCTTTTTGACTGAAAGAACTGATCACTATCATAGAGAACAAACCCAATATCTTTGTTAAAACCTACAGAGAGAGGGACAAAGTTACTATAGTTAAAATATCACTTTCAACAGATAATTTAAATGTGGAATAATCACAAAATACAACAAGGGGGAAAGTAGACCTTCACTGAACGTGACATTCATTTGTAAGTCGATGTTATCTTTGGAAATCTCTTTGGAAATCTCTTTGGAAACCTGTGTCATATCCAGTTTTATTCTGTTAGGTAAAAAGGTATCACTCTGCCCTACAGAAATGAAGATAAACATGACTGTTAGGACGGACATGCTAATTGTATAAACCCTTACAAAAATATATTAGTATAATTCAACTTCATTTTATTCAGTAAATTCTTATACTCTATATTTTTACTTTACGTATAAATATTAAAATTACGTAAGTATAAATCTAAATATTATTAATTACGTAAGAATACTAATTTCAATATACGAGTAGTACAATTGAAAGTCTATTTCAAAACTACTTGGGACTAAATTGGACAACTTTTCAAGTGGAACAGTACTAAACTACATTTTTCATTGGTACTGCAACTTACTACAAGTATACTGATAGTTCCCTCTCTGAAGTTGTGTTGAAATACAGATACTAGGGGTCACTCTTGGGAGCCCCAAATACCTCTGATGTATTCAGAAAAGGCCAATGAAATTGGCATGTGTAACAAGAGCAAACATAAGTGGCCTCTCTCAGCGTTTGCTCAGATATGTGTAGGGAGTTCCCCTGAGTGCATCAGCGGCATTCTGAAAGAGGCAATTTCCTTAATAAAAGAGTGAATTCCTCTAAAAGAGCTGCAAGGCAGATCGCCTCTTTTTTAAAGATGCTGTTACGTCTGTGTCCTACGGGGGTGCAGATGATTTCTCTCTCTCTTGGACGGCCACAACAAGTGCTGGTTTCACTGTATGGGACCAGCACTTGTGGCGAAACAGTTTTCGTGGATGGGTCATGCGCCCATGGGAACGTTGCGGCCGCAACTCTCGTACTTCTTCAGGAGGCCAAGAGTCATTGCGCAGTCATTGCTGAACTGCTTGAAACTGTTCAAGCACAAAACAGCGGTCCCACTAAAATATTTGTAGAGGCTCATGGGGCAAATGGGATCCTTGGCAGCAGTTTTCATGAAAACAAACGAATTTCTAAAATATTCCACTTTTTTTTTTTTACCAGCAGTGGCCATGTGTAAAAAAAAACCATCATAGTGTCTCATTTTATTTTAGATTTGATGCATTCACACCACATCGCAACATGTGCCGTTCCAACGTATTCTCATCCTTTAGTGTCATATACTGTAGGTGACGCTATATGACAAAACGGCGAAATACTACGCACATGGCACCCGTTATCGTTAATATAACACGCACTGTGATGGGTAGGTTTAGGTGTGGGGTAGGGTAGGGTAGTCTCATATTCACGCTAAAGGATTCATGACGCCTTGGGTTCACGTGCTATATTAACGATAAAGGGTGCCATGTGCGTAGTATTGCTGTTTTGTAGCGTCACCTATATGACGCTAAAGGATGAGAACGAGCTGGCCGTTCTACTAAGCTGTCCTTGTACTGGTAATTATGCATCTCTATAGTAACACTATCAATGCCTAAATGAATCTGCAGTGGACTGGTAGTATAAGTTGGTGTCTTGTAGAACTGTAAGTGCGACAGTAAGTTCTACAATTTTTTTTCTTGAGAGTTCTGTTGTATATTTAAGCTTCAAAATGAGCACAAACTCACCTTTAAAAGAGGTTAATTGCACTTGTTTGATTGGAGTTTGCACCTTCAGTGACTGCACTGCCATGTTCGGTTGCACCAGCAATGGATTTGACTCCACACGCAGAGAGAGTTTCTGTAGAGTCTGTGTTAGTCTAAACAAACACAATTAAAAAGTCAGATAGCAGGTCAAAAAGAAAGTGCGTATGAATTTGGTTGAGATGGTTCTCAATCTACAGTGCACTGAGTGTGAATTGTTTTGTTACTCATTTATTGCAGATTGGTCGACAGAGGAGTATATCCCATGACTTGCGTTCAGGAGCTGACTGACTGTGGCGACTGCTGACACTGCAATTTCCTGATTCTGAACAATGAAGAAAAAGAGTTTCTCAAAACAACTCTGGTTCGTATAAGCACTGATGAGCCAAAACATTATGACCGGTCACAGGTGAAACAAATATCATTGATCATCTTCTAACAAGACCACATATTAAGCTCTGGGTAGATTAGATGGTAAGCAAACAATAACAATCCTTGCAATGCTGTTGAATGGGCAAGAATAAAGATCTGTTCGCATTTGATAAAGTCCAAATTGTAATTGTAAGGCGTTTGGGTCAGAGTATCTCTGAACTGGAAAAGCTTGTGGGTTGCTCCAAATCAGCAGTGGTTAGAATTAACCAATAGGGGTCCGAGAAGTGATAAACCTGGGTGTTTGGCACCCAAGGCTGGCTACAACACACAGTGCATCACACTCTGCTGCATATGGATCTGCTTAGCTCAAACCAGAGTGTCTACGATGACCCTTGTCCACAATCTAAAGCATCTACAATGGGCTCTCGAGCATCGAAACCTGGACCTTGGAGTAGTGAAAGAAGGTTGACTGGTCCAATGAATCCCGTTTTCTTTTACATCACATGGACGGCTGTGCACATGTGCGCCATTTACTTGGGGAAGGGATGACACCAGGATGCACAGTGGGAAGTGTATCTCTGTTTTGGCAGCATGCGGAGGACCGACAGCAGATTAGGGAGGTGGTCATAATGTTTTTGTTCATCTATTTACAGTAGTATTTTCAAAATGTTGCAGACATACTTCTGGCTCTATGATGGAGATGGGTGTGATTCATCCTACTATAAGTGCTGAGTAGAAGAACCATTAGCAAAGGATTGCAAAACATTGTGGTTGATGATGTTTGTATAAGGTTCTGTGGTGTACCTGGAGTATTCAAATGAGTGTATCTGTCTATTTTATGTACAGTTTGGAAAATTAGGCACTGACATTCAATGTTTACACTGCGTATGGAAATAACAACATGCAAATTATGAAAAACAAGTTGAGCCGAGTAAAGAGAAATATAAAAAAAAGACATGAAAATTGTCTTGCTATTATTACCCTAAAAATAACATCTAAAAATGGACCATTTTAATAAAAATGCAATTAATATATTATAACAAGAAATGTTTCTTCAGCGTCAAAACAGCAGATCAGAATGATTTCTGAAAGATCATGTGACACTGGAGACCAAAGGTAATGATGCTGAAAATTCAAAAGATTCTTTTAATTTGCAATCATATTTTGCAATGTTTTACATGCAATAAATGCATTCTTGCTGAGGTACTGTACATACACACACACACACACACACACACACACACACACACACGCACAGATTTAATGGACAAAATCTGGAAATGTCCCTCATGACTGGAGACTTTAAATTTTAAAATCTGTTTAAGGCTTAATAAGTACCGTGCTTTGTTCAGTTTCATCACGGGAGAGCAGGATGTTGGATATTTTAACAGCATTTGTGATGTTGTGGGCTGTTAGCCGTTCCGGTATGGATGTGAGGATCTGAGTACTGGAGGCTAAGGAGAGGACCTGGGCTTGAGTAGCTCCAGTAAGCTTCATTAAAAATAAAAATTATACAATCATGCAAACTTTTCTGTTTTCATCTGGGGAAAATATATTATATATTGCAATCATTAGACATTGATTACTTACATTTTTGTTAATGGTATCCAGGGTCAAACCACAATCTAGAATGTTTGGAGGACCAAATAAGCGAGTAGATATATTACAGAGGGCTGAAGCTTTGGGGATTCCAGCTGAAAAACATTCATGTTAAATGAATAGATCTTTAAAGGAGAGAGTATATTGTAAATACTGAAAGATAGGAAATGATGACATACCATTTGGTGTATTTGATAGACATCGCTCAACTGAGGAAGCAAACTGGCCTAAGACTGTTTTTGGAAAGGTGAATTCACTAGTTTGTGTCTTTTGTTCAGGGCAGAAATTTGCTGTAAATAAAAGACAAGTCTGTCAGTAAACTTGACAACTTAAACAAGATTATACATATGCAATATTTTCAAAGTGTTTTACAGATGTTGCAGGTAGTTCCAGTCCAATCGTCTAGGCAGAGGCAGATCGAGTTTTGTAAGGTGCCCTTGTTTTCACACACCAGACTGGGTTTGGTCAATGTTGTGCTCGGGGGTGCAGTAGCTGCAGTCTGGAGTGTTAAGGTGCTGATCGTTGCATTGGTCGAATTTGTTTGACACCAAGTCTGTTCAAAAACAGCTGTTTACAGAGACAAAACATTAAACAAATGGTATCTGTCAGGTTTCTCCTCCTGCTACTTTTTTTCTCTCGTGTCGGCTGCACACAGCTGATCGCGCTTTGCAATTATCCTATTTCTACCCCTCAGTTTTTCTCTTTCATTGCCAGTGTGTTTTGTCAATAATTTGACTACATGTTTATTCTAGTTGTCTCGTTTTTGTTTTTTGTTATTTTGTTTATTCAGCCATTCCAGTGATTCCTGCTTCCTCTCGCTATTGTCTTGCTCTGATGGATTATTTTCTATTTGTTCCTGTCTGTGTTTTAACTTGTCGAGTCCGCGTCTCAAATTAATTTGATGAAATGAAAAAACATTTTCTCATGTATTATCTCATTATTTCATCTGACTCCATAAAGGAAAAGGTTTTAATGATATCTGGGCATCATTAAATGTGAGCGAATGTTTCGCTATTCTTTTGAACTCTTTTCTGAATATAATTGTCAAAGCCAGTTAGAATAAGATGTTTACAAATGTTTCCAATTTCAAATGTTCAAATGTTTACAATTTATTATGTCAGGTAAATTCAAAGATAATCAATACAATAACATCAAATGAGTAAATGATGTAGGCTAAACCCATCATTTAGAAAAACATGATGCAAAGTGCCGTTCATCCACTATGTATCACAGGCTAATTTTAAGTTACAAAACGTGCTGATTCTCCTATTGTATTTTTTTTCAATAGGAGATTTTTTTTTCAATAAAGTTTATATTTCTTTATATAAACAGAAACGTCTTTCACATGGAAACGTGGAAATTTGCATTCAGAGGTAACACCTTTTGAGAGCAGGAGACCGTTTATCTGGAAGACCCACCCCTTTTGCTGGGCCATTGATTGAATGCTATACATTTTTTTCTGCATTTAAGTCCTATTCCTTAAAGGGTTAGTTCACCCAAAAATGAAAAATGTACTATTTCAACAATTTCTTTAATAACTTTTCTGGGACGGCAGATGCTACCTATCAGCCTATGAAGGAGTGAGCCAGCTCTCAGATTTCAGTAAGAGTCTTACTGAAAATTTACGAAATTGCTGTAAATAAAAGACAAGTCAAACAAAATTAAGTCAAAAACTATTTGATATGACTTGAATACATTGGGCTAAAGCAATAAAAGTCATTTCTATGGGTCAGATAAGAAATAGCTCAATGCAACAACTACGAATATTCACTTTTTGCACCATATACACAAACGCATCACATAGACCCCCTTAACATGAGATATGATAACATAGTGATATGTATAGTGCATTAGTCAAATTACTTCTAGGTTACTTCTATTTCACAAGTATTTGGAAAATTAGGATGTGACATGGAGTGGTTACACAGAACTGTGATGTGCAAAACACCAATATGGAAATGAACCCAGAAAACTAGCACACAATAAGGAATTGTAATCATAATGTAATATTGTAAAAAAATAATGAAAATAGTGGAGAAATGTTTTATAATTGCTATTAATTATTAATAATAATAGTGTGGTCAATACAATCTATGCATTACTATATAAATACATAATAATAATAATATTAAATAATATATATATATATATATATATATATATATATATATATGAAGAGTTCAGATGCAAAAGCCTCTAAATGCCATTTGAAATTTTCTTCTTTAATGATTTTTGTCAAACTTGTATATTTAAGTTCAGTGATTTCACTTAAATGGCAATGATAATTACCTATTAATTGTTATTGAAGTGAAATCACTGAACTTAAATATACAAGTTTGACAAAAATCATCATTAAAGAAGAAAATTTCAAATGGCATTTAGAGGCTTTTGCATCTGAACTCTTCATATATATATATATATATATATATATATATATAAATATAAATAGATACATACATATATACATATATATATATATATATATATATTCAATTTTAAAAGCGAACCTTACCTGCGGAAAAGATTAAGAGTTGAAAGTAATCCATTACACACAACAAATATAAAGCTAACTAATATGAAGTGTTGTTACTGTATGGTATATAAAGGGCTGGATCTTTGCTGGAGTGGGAAGTCCATCAGTCAAGGAAATAACCACCCATATCCACTTATTGTCACGGATCCATCTGCGTCAGCACCAGACACCTTCACTCCGCCCACTCGTTCCAGCTCCCCAGCCTTCTAATCACCGTCACCTGCCCACATCAATCACCGTCCCAATCATCCTCCCTTTATAAACTCACTCCTCACAGTCACTCACCGTCTGGTCTCGTCGACACACCGGCTACAGACTCCCGCTATTCTAAACCCTGGTTTTGAGAAGATACTTACCTGCTTACTGTCGTCCTGTCAGCTCCTTCTCCGCTCCTGGTCCCCGGTCTCCCGCTGCTCATCCGTCCGCTGCCTCAGCTCTCCCTCTTCCAACCCTGCACAAGATAAGATATCCTTCATCAGACTGTTTCCCGATCGATTACTGAACTTTATTCATTACCTACTCACCTGCTGTCTACCATATCACCTGTGTCAATAAACCTGGTTACCCACATCCATCTGTGTCCTTCTAGTCTGTGACAGAAGACCAGACCAA